TCCCTAATACATTATAAGCATCTCCATGGCATTGCATAGTCATGATAATAATTTTAATGGATGCATAATATTTCATTGAGCAGATACATAATAAATTAATAAGCCATTCCATTACTACTGGGCTTTTGGGTTGTTTCTATTTTTATTTTATTTTTGCTTTCTAAATGCCAGCGATAAATACTACGGGTTTTCCCTTACATATTATTTCTTTAATGGAAATCCCTAGGGCTGGAATTACTAGGTCAAAAGATAGAAACATTTTTAAGGCTTTTTATTCATTGTACCAAATTGCCCTCCAATTTACACCAACTCTCAGCAATGGATGCATTGTCAGTTTCATGGCACTTGTTAGCCTTACCGTTTTAAAAATGTATCGCTAATTTAATAGGTGAAAAATTAGACCTCATTGTTGTTTTAATTTGCATTACTTTGATTATTTGTGAGTGCGGACTTTTTCTCCATGTTTGGTTACTGATGGTGTTTCTGTCTGTGAGCACGATGTGTTCGAGCTCCCCGTTTTTTCTCCCTGGTTTGTCCGGCAGAGATTAAAGAGACTGAAGTCCGAGTAAGGACTCCATGATTTAGAGAACACTTAGGAAATCAAAGAAAGATTTTTAAGTCCAGAAATTTCTGCTTCATTTGTGTTTTTGACGAGTGAAGTCAAATTACAAGGAAAAGGAAGGCCTCCCTGTGCAAAAGGCAGGCCGTGGCTCCCTTGGCCAACGCTGGCAGCTAACTGGACACGTGCGCTATTTGCCACAAGAGTGGGGTTCACCTACACAACAAGGGTCATGTGCTTCATTCAGGTCAAGAAGGTTGCTTAAATCATCATTGGAACAGGCATAGAATAAATGCACAAATAAGTAACAGTTAAATGAGTATTTTTTTTTTTTTTGGGAGAGGTTTTCACGATAGGGCGCGTGTGCTTGTCAGACAGACAGAGAGAGACATAGAGACAGAAAGTGAGAAATCAGTGCTTGTCAGACAGACAGAGAGAGACATAGAGACAGAAAGTGAGAAATCACCCCCCGGGGGGATGGTCACGCCGCAATCCCTTCTCCTCTATTCTCCTCTCGGGATCTTGGGCATGCACGCACACGCACCCGGCGTGAGTTTTAAGCTACCGGGTCCGGGACACGAACCACGGTCAACTATGTGGGAGTCCAGCGACATAGCCATTATGCTAACTGCTGGTTCCCAATGAGCATTTTTTTTTACCAAGTAAAAATAACTCACAGGCAGAATTAAGCAATAAACCTTATTTCTAGTATTTTTCATTGCAAAAACAAATATGCATTTTGGCCAACAAACCATATACCCTTAATATTTATTGAATTTTGCACATATGAGAATTTTGGTAATTGGTTGTTCTTAACCTCTCAGCTGAATAGAGAGAATGGTGGGACATGGAAGGAAATGATTCCTTATTGAATACGCATGCACTGGAGAAGAAACGTTTATCTCTCTGAACCTTAATTCTTCATCTGTAAAATGAAGATATGGTAGCTATGAGAATTAAAGTGACAGAAGTGTCTAGAACATTATTAGCTATTCAATAAGCCAGCGGAATTACACAGACCCACATATCTATCTGTCTATCTATCTGTCGGTCTGTCCACCTATCTATCTACCAACCTCACACATCTGGCTCCCTGCCTCCTGGCCTCTTTCCTAAGAAATTGAGGCTGCCTGCTGGGGCCAACCCCAAGGAGTCTCCTGCTCAGTAAACAACACAGGGAGATGATGACCTCGTGGCTTTACAGGGAGGACTTGGATCACTGTCCACCAGTCTCAGCCAGGCTGAGGTTCAGTGATGAAAGAGGTTGCCGACAGCCAATTAGAAATGCTTCCTTTGGAAAGGGGCTGCCCTAAGGTGCTCAGGTCAAGTGGAACAAAGAGGGCGAAGAGCTGCTTCTGTGCAAGAAAGCAATGAAGGGCAAAGGGTCACTTTGGATCCAGGTGGGGTACCTAGGGGAGAGACGCAAGGGGTTGAATAAGGCCAAACGGTAACAAATTCACTTTTGGTTCAGAAAAAAATAACATGCACACATATGTGCAAGTTTGTGTTTGGCTTTAAAAAAGATAAAGAAAAAGGGTTGCAAGGAAACTTTATATTGGTATTAATTGCAACTGGAGATGATAGCTATTTAAAATAAGAAAATGTATGAGATAGTCCTGGAAAAAATGTTTTAGTACAAGTTTATAAAAAAGATTGTCTTCTACTTTTGATTTTAATATTAACAAGCTGTCTAATCTTTCCAATTTACTCCATCTCTCTGCACCTATGTCTTTATTTTTACAGTGGGGAGACTGCCACCTGCTTGGGGAACTTCAAAGCTACCGGGAGAATGGGTTCAATGAGATAAGACATGAGGGAGGTTTGAAAGATGTCACAGTACTGTGCAAATCATGTATGAGCTCCTTACCCCCTGCATAAGAGAGAGGGTACCAGCTGAAAAGAAGAGCTTCCCTGTGTGGAGCCTACCCATGGCAGGCCCTCTTCCAGACCCCTGACCTTCATTCTCACACTTAGTTCCTATAACCATGTGAGGTAAATAGGATTATCCCTTTTTTATAGGCGAGAAAACAGGGCTCAGAGAGGGTAATTTACCCCAGGTCACATAGCTAGAAAGTGGAGAAAGCCAGAGCTATGGACTCCTGGCATTTACAGCACATCCACCCATAACAACAGCACCGGTGAAGGGATTCTGAACTGAGAAGGTGCTCAGTCAGATGTGGTTTCCTCCTCCTGGAAAGGCCTTCTGTTACACTGATTGCAAACCGCCTAAGGTGTCTGCTATTTTATCTTTGTATCATTAGAGACAATGAGGGCCTTGGGGTCTGGGTTCTCTACTCTAGAGCCTTGAATCTAGCACATATTCTCCTATAAGTCTTCTTGATTTTTAAGAGAGATTTTTGCTACAGGGTGTGTGCCCCTGGCCAGAGAGACAGAGAGAGAGAGAAAGCAAAAAATCACCCCCTGGGGGAATGGCCGTCCCACCATCCCTTCTCCTCTCCTCTCCTCTTGGGACTTTGGGCACACATGCACTTGTGCCCAATGTGAGTTTTAAGCTGCCAGGTCTGGGACTTGAACAGAGGTGGGAGTCCAGTGACATAACCACTGTATCATCTGCTAGTCACTCCGGTAAGTTTTATGTAGAGTTGAGTTGATGCTGGGAAGTCAAGTGTCCAATAGACACATGTGCCCGTGTGTCAAAATGCAGAGCTGCATATTCACTTTTAATGGAATAATAGGTGTAAAGGATTCATAGCCACTGTCTGTGGCTCACCCCATAAATGTAGTCACTTCCTCACTATTTCCTCCACCTGGAGAAGAACAACTGCTTCCTCTCAGGATGCCATGGAAACAGAGTAGAAGGAACCCAAGTCAAGAAAGAAATAGAGCCAGTTTGCAGGGCCAGCATGGCGGCTAAAGTGCTGGACTCCAACATGGATGACCATGGTTCTAGTCCCGGTCCTGGCAGCTTGGTTTCTCACTTTCCTGCTCTCTTTCCTCTTCTCTCTTTCTCTTTCTGGTGAGCTCAGATGCCCTGTAGCAAATTAAAAAAATAGTAATAATAATGATAAATAAAATTAAATAAATAATTCTTAAAGAAAGAAAGAAAGAAAGAAAAAAGAAAGAAAGAAAGAGCCAATTTTCATTCTCTGCTGCATCTACTACCTCTTACACTGGGGCAGGGGTCAGAGGTGGGGGTGGGCAACAATGCCAACTTTGGGTTTCTGTGATTAAAGGAACTGTGACTTAAAACAAGCCTAGGTGTGGGCAAAGGGCCTGGGCATAGTCTCTGGTGGGAATGTACAATAAATTACCAAGTTGTATGGAAGACCTAAAAAATATACCTGACCTGGCACCAGCAGGTGGCATGGTGGTTAAAGTGCTGGACACTCCAACATGGCTGATCATGGTTGGAGTCCTAGACCTAGTGGCTTGCTTTCTCACTTTCCCTGTCTCTCATTCTCTGTTTTTACTCTGATCCAGAAAAAAAAAAAAAAGAATAAATAAAATAATTCTTAGAAAAATAAAAAACAAAACACCTCCTTCCTTCCAGAGGAAGCTGGAGCTATGGACACTCCAGGCATTTATACCATTAGACCTTTGGCCCACTAATTCTATTTTAAGGAATGGATCCCGATGAGGGGCCAGCAGGTGGTTAAGGTGCTGGATTCCCACATGACAGACCATAGCTTGCATCCCAGACCCCGTATTACATGCATGCCCAAAATCCCAAGAAGAGAATGGAGTAGCAGGAACTGTGGTGTGGCCATCTTCCTGTAGGGGATTTTTCACTTTCTTTCTGTTTCTCCAATGAGTGTACACACCCTATAGCAAAAACCTAAAATCAAGTGAACGAATGAATATATCCTAATGAAATAATAATAATTTCTGCAAAGTCTTTTCTATGTGGATATTTACCTAGAAAAAATTGGAACTTAAGTACCCTATAATCAGACTGAATAAATAATGTATTTCATCCCATCAGATAAAATTTTATGTAGCCACTAAAACAATAACATGGGGAAGAAACACTTAGTGGCCTGGGAAAGGTT